CTGCTGAAGTCTGTAACACCAAGTTTGTAACACTTAACACCAGGTGTTAGACAAAGGAGCTGTGAGACACCAGCATTATGCCTACACTGCTGCCCTTACCTGGGCAGGATTAATGACAATGCACCAAGGGGACAAATGAATCCTCATTTTCCTACTGTTAACACAACCTGTAAACATTTGGTAATAAGTTTCTTACACATTTTAAATATAACTGTGACAATTTCTCCATTATGTTACTTTGCATCTATGAGTTAAATTTTCCTGTAACTGAGCTGAGCAAAATGGGTATGTTTCTTGTCAAATTGTGTGTGTCCTAAATATATTTGTGTATGTGCTAAACAATATTTTGATCTAAATGCTGTGAAATAATATTTATTTACAATTCTGGGCATTGAGATGGAAATTAAATACTGTATACAGTATGTGTATATAATATTAAAGACTACATATTGATGGTAAGGATCTGTTATAATCTTAAGAGTCCAGAGAGAGGATAAGCAAGTGGTTTGCCACAACTAAGCTATGACTTGCCTGACAAATTCAAAAGCTCACTGGAGAGCTCAGCTGTCATGTACAATACTATGTGTGAACAATGTATATTACTTTTTCTGGTTTTATATTGAATTGTATTGAATATTTAAAAAACTTTTTAATATTTAAAAAAAATTTAAGTGTTATGCCAAAAAAAGTTCCAAACATAAAATTTTAAAAAGTTAGTTTTAAATACAGATAAATTATTTAAACAGTATTTAAAATATTAAATTATTTTATATAGGAATTGATAATACTATGTAAGACTTTTTTTAAAGGTTTCTTTAAATTCTCTTTACATTCTCGAGCTGCAGGATGTAGTCTCAGTTCACCTGTGACAATTCAACTCTTCACCTTCTTTAACAAGACAAGAAGGTAAACCAAAGCCCAAGATTTTCTTTCCTTTTGTTATACTATTTTTTACATTAAGAAACATTGCATAAAGGGCATTAGAAAGAGATGTTACATCTGTCAGGTACTGATTGTCATATAAGCAACTCAATACCTTTTCAGTCCAGTACAAATAAAAGATTTAGATCAAGAGACTTTTGGTTCTTTCTCATTTTGCTAAGATGGAAACAAACTCAAGTGGTAGAAAACATGAATAGCCAAGAAAGAAAGAAAAATGTCTTTGGATATATCAATCTGGTATGACAAAGTCCTTTGATAATTAAAAATACATTCATATCCTCCTAGCAAACCAGTCCCACACCAAATACATATTACCTCAGTCTTACATAAATTATGAAAGTTAACTGAAATACCATGCAGATTTTGGACTGGCCTCAGTGCCAGTATTAATGCACTTTTTCAAGTTCAACACAGAAGAGAGAAATGAGAAAAAACCCAAATCCATATGAGCTGCAAATTTTTTTTGTCGGCTACTGGTGAAAAAGTTTCTATTCAGCAGAACACCCCCAGGTGAGAAAACACATGTCGGTGTCCTTGGTGAGTTGTACTGCCCACATGCTGAAACAGCTTCCTATCATCTTTACAACACCCTGCTGAGCGTGTACCAGGAGTAAAAAAAAAATAAATCAAAGGTTGCTGCACCCAAGACTTTATTCTCTTAATGCTTCCCTAAGCTTGTAAGGAACAACTGCTGAAGACCAGTTTGGTCAAGGTCAACATACCAAGTCATCCAAGCACATGGTTGTTCCTGAATCCAGCCTGTCTTTGGGTAAGAGTTGCTGTGGGGCACAATTCAGGTGAGGCTCATGCTGATGCTGCTCTCCCTGCCAACCTTCTCATGCACCCCCCTCTCTTCTTGAGTGCTGAGAAGCAGGACATGCTATGTCAGATTTACTATTGGATTCCAACATGGTCAAACAAGTTTAAGCTTAACACACAGCAGGCAGTTTCCTGGCACTGCCTATCTTGGAAGGCTTTGTGAATGAGGATTAAAATCAGACCACTGTCTGCTCCTGCTCTGGGGCAGCTGTATGGTTCACATGCAGACTGAAAGCTGCTGTGGTTTAGGAATTTATTCATTAACAGATCCAATGCCATTGCCCTGTGGGTGGCAACATCCATCAGAGCACTGGGTCTTGAGGCTATAGAGAATAACAGTATCAGACTGTTTTAACTATCCAGTTTTAATCCTGCAGGAACAATCAGAATCTATTTTCCTTCTTAGCCTAACCTCATACTAAAATATCTTAAAAGGCTGTGAACAGAATCTCCATATTACAGCAAATCTAACCTGCTAATCACACAGGATCTCAACCACAACAACCACAAATGAAAACCTTCCCCTGTTACTTTTATTTTCCACATTGTTTCTGCTGCTCAAAGGAAAACCTTAACATTTATGTAACATTTATTTATGCTATTAAGCAATTTTTAGATGATGGCATAGAGAGAGAATATACAACAATCTCTGACACACCAATGAACACATTCAAACCTTCAATTTATTCACAAAACATGACAGTATCCAAGTCTGAAACTTAGAAACAGTGTCTTATCTATACCCCTCACTGTCAAGATAGTACTGGTAAATCACCAGGTTTTCAGAGCTGCAGTGACTTGTCCCTGTAATAATGTTATCTGGAATAGCAGTTTAAATTTCAAAATCATTTAAACTACCTGCATGTTTTTACCTTAAAAAAAAACCCCAACAAAACCAAAACCCAGAACAAATTTAACAGCTGTGACATGATATACTGCTACTTTGGAATACACATACATGAACATAACATCCACAGAGGCTTGGCTCTCAACTAAACAATTCAGGATATAGCCCATTGCCTCAGTGCCTGTATAAGGCAGAGAAATCTCTCTACTGAGTCCAGAATTCTGGGATCAGCACCATACTCAGTCCAACAAACCT